AAAATTAGAGGAAGTCATAAATGAAGTCCTTATGAATAGGGTTAGTGACCACAGAAGAATTATGAGAGAGCTTGCTTCTCCTCTCTGCTCTCTACCATGTGAGGGGATACAGTGAGAAGTCAGCAGTCTGCACCCGGAAAAGGTTCCTCACCAGAACTCGACTTTGAAGGCACCCTGATCCTAAACTTCCAGCCTCCAGAACTGTGAGAAATAAATTTCTGTTGTTTATACGCCACCTGATCTTTGGTGTCTTTGTTACAGCTGCCTGAGCTAAGACACACACCTGTGCAGTAGGTCTAGAGAGCAACAAATTCTAATTAGAACATGAGAATGAAAAGTTCCACAAGGAGTACTTGCAGGGGGAAAAAATAATACAAAAAGTAGATCTCCTGATAGTTTGGTCTCTGTGGAAAATGAAGGATTTTTTTTTCAGAGATATTAAAGAATAGTATAAGAATTAGGAAAGGATTAAAGAGAAATAAGCATGAAACAATAAGGTCATCATTACAGAAAACCAAAGAGTTAGTTAAACAAAATGGAATTATAGTAATTATTAACCACTTGATTCAGCAGTGAATTGTCACAATAAAAAAATATTAATTATAATTTACCATATACTGAGAGAATGGGTAAAAGAAGAGGAAGTAGATATATAAGAGAATAAAATCTTCATCACCATATGGGGTAGTAGGTAGTTACTGCCTAAAGTTGATGACTTGAAAATTAGCAAAATCCCTGTAGTATTTGGAAAAATAAATTCAAATACAAAAAAGGAGGGACAGAGTATTTAAAAGAGTTACACTGGAGTAGCAGAACATGTGGGAAATTAGGAAATGGTTTGCTGATAACTTTATGACTTTTTCCACTATTTAACTTTTTTGACTTTGATAAAGATTGGACTCATTTTCAAAAATGAAATGAGAAAGTTAATCTTTCCTTCAGAATGCTAAAGATCAGTGTTTTTTCCTTCTACCCATTTATCACCTATTATACAATATTCATATGCTACTTTTCTGATATTGCATTTCTGCTGTATGACAGGCTTATAAGTGAACTAATAGGTTATACTTGAGCAAAACTGTACCCCCAAATTTTGGAAGGCACTGTGTTTTTTCTTTTTTAAGGGGCATGCAGATTCCCAACTTTTAAAATTTCAGTTAGGGAAGAAGTAATTATCAATCTATGCTTCAAAACATAACATCAATAAAAAGTTTTAATGACAAAGACCTTTTCTGAAGCAAATTTAAGTAGCTGATTTTTCACTTACAGATATGCATTCCATTTCTTATACTAGTATTAATTTTATCTTCCTGTAAAAGGCACAAATAGATTTTTTTATGACTTATATGTGACCTGTAATTAGAGATTTTGGACAATTATTTATATCTGTTTTCCAAAAAGATATAATTTTTGCCAAAAATATTAAATGTATGTGAGAATTAGGGGTGGGTTCAGGCCTATAGTAGGGATTATAACCAAGAATTTCCAGGAAAAATTACTTCATTTAAACCCTTTTTTGCTACTTTTCTTTTTTATGGAGCCTAAATGTTAATAATAATACCATATTTAAAACTAACACCAAGTGTAGACTATCTTTTATTTCCTCTTTTCTCTATTTATTTGCTATGTTCTCTTTTCAGCAAATTAATATTTTAAAACTTCCTGTAGTTCTCAATAGTTTTCATCTTGCCTTTTTTCCTAAAGTTTCTTGAAAACTTGTTACCCCAACTCAACCTTATTCTTTCTCGTCACTTCAGAAAGGAAGGGCTCCGGCAGGGGAGGATTCGAGTGGTTCCTGACACTCAAGGCTATTGGAAAGCACCTTAGCAACCTACCCTTGGCTTCAACGCAAGTTTGAATCTTCAATTTAAAAAAGAATGTGAAACAAGACCACAGTTGACTTTTAAAATAATCTACACTTTATATTTAGAAGAAAAATGCCTAGAACAACAAAATTATTAAGAATTGGGCATTTTGTATAGGACACTCATCCTCTATTTCCACAGAATATTTTGCAGTCAGTACACATGCAAAGCAGTGTCATGGAGTACCTGTCCCAAAATTGCTATACAATAAGAACTAATATTTAAAATAATCCACAAGAAATTAAGGATACAATATCATTAAAATCAAAATTCAATTTTAATATCATTAAAGAATGGAAATTGAAGTATAACACTTTGGAATGATTTTGTTTCAACCAAATGATTTCTTCCAGGATCTTTGTTAGCAGGAAACCATATCTAAGTCCATCTAAACAATTCTGCTTAAATCCCCTGTTCTTTTGTCAATGTATTTAACAAACTGTTCCACCATTTAGCCAGTAGACCAAACCATAAGCCTAGAAGCCTTGGAGTCAGGTTGACCTTTTCCCTCTCCAGTAGTTCTCCATATCCTACTGGTTATACTTTTTAAAAACCTGCCAAAACCAACTATTGGGTTGGCCAAAAAGTACCTGACATTTTTCCTGTAAAATAAAAGACAGATTTTCCATTTTCACCAGTAACTTGATTGATTTGGCTATTTTAAGTACGTCACCTATCCCCTGCCCGCTAGTGGCCGCAGGTGCTACTAGATATCTTCTAATGCATAAGACAGCCACACAGTGCAGAATTATTTAGCCAAAACATCAGTACTACCAAGAAACTTCACAAGACCACTTTTCACACTTTTGATCAGTCACAACACCTTCTCCATACATGCAAAAATCTTTTTTGTGTGTGTTTCAAGTGCATTTTTACCTTTCTTGAAATAAAGCATAATACACCAAAATAGTTGTATGTTTTCTTCCATCTTCAATATTAAAATGGCTGTACAAAAATTCACCAATTTTGATGGTTTTTTAAAATGTACTCTGATATGACAGCTGTCACAATACAATCTAACAAAATTGTTTAGAATAAAGTCAAAGACAACTAAGCATTACTAGAGCCATCATATGGAAAAAAAAAATGTAACAGACTTTTTGACTATGCCTCTCTCTCTATCTCTCTATGCCCAATGCTTTTCTATGCCTGTACCTTCCAAATCACTGTTGCATTAATCCTCAGTACTCTGGCACCAAGCAAATGGACCTCATACAACATTCTGACCCTGCTTCTCCCAGCTGAAAAACCTTCACTTTTCCCTTTAATAAATATTAACTCCTTAGCATATATTTAAAAACCTTCCATGAGTCATTCCTTTCCCCCATTGCACAATTTGAACTTTGTCTCTACCTGCCTCCTCCTCCCTTTCTTCACACCAGCAGTACTACAGCTCCAATCTCTTGCTCACCTGCTTTGCCACAAGCTGCTATGAGTTCCTCAAAGGTTTCCGCTCCTTGTTTGCCTATCTCCTACTCATCCTTCAGGTCATTGTTTAAATGCCATTTCCCCAGAGAAGGCTTTCCGGATCCCTAATTTAAATCCATTAAATATAACCATCTTGTTCAGATACTTAGGTTGTAGGTTGGCCTTCGTTTGCAGCTATGTGATAGGAGATGCCAATGGTTTTAGAAAATTAACAAATTATAAAAGGAGAAAATGTTAGCCATTATTTATGAATATTGAAGAAAAATCAATTATTAATTTTGATTGAACATTTTGATATAACTAACAAAACACTAATGCAAGTACTAAAATTTTTTTGCGGCCTCGTTTTTTGTCAAATTAAAAAATAATAATGCTATGGACTCAATCTTTTATAATATTAAAAAATAATCATTATTTGAGTGGGATTCCTTACCTATTCTTTTGGTTCAAATGAATTAATCAATTTGTGGTTAAATATCTGTATGTAACAAAATTCAACATGTGGTTCTAAAACCAACCCAGATTTTCACATCAACTTTTCCATAATTGTACAGGTGACCAACAATATTAAAGGGAGCAGAGATATATAGAATTTGAGAGAGGAGTACACTTTGACCAAATATTTTTACATACTACTTTGTTTTCAAGTGTATTAAATAACCTGAATAAAGTATTATTTCATTTTCTTTTTTAAAAAGGTTTATTGACTTTAGAGAGATAGGAAGGGAGAGAGATAGAGAGAGAGAGAAAGAGAGAATGAGAGAGAGAAATGTTGACTGGTTGCCTCCCATACGTGGCAACCAATCAACTAATGGATTGAACCCACAACTTTTTGGTTTGCGGGACCGCACTCCAACTAACTGAGCCATGCTGGCTAGGGTTTATTTTATTCTCGAAACAATTCCAAGAGGCGGGCAGGCGAAGGAATATCATCATCCTTTTTTGTGTAAATACAACTTTAAATGCTCACTCAAAGCCACCACCTATTAAGTTATTGTTCCAGACTTAAAACTCAGGACTTTTGACTGCAAGCTCAGAACTCTTTCTACAGACTTGCCTTGATTATGTACCTAATCTTGCAAATTCAAGATAATTTGCAAGATTAATTCCTTTAGGGTAACAATGTTCTCTCTAGCTATCCTTATTTTAAAATGTAAATAATTATCTGAAGATTATATATTTAAGCATGCTTATGTATAAATTAATTTTCCACATCATTTTCCCTTAGGTCAGCAGAACTGCCAGCTACTAGGGGAGATTTATAACCAGTGATGGTGGCTGAAGAAAAGGTTGTCACAAAAATAGGAGTAAGAGACACATTAAGGAAAGTGCATTTTTACCTCTTTTTGACCATCACCATACAAGAAACCTTCTTTTTAACCAAATACATTCTATTTTTAGAAGTAGCTTTTTCTAACCATTTTGAACTAGCAGTGGTAAAAATAAATATTTTAATCTGTATGAGACAGTTAGAGCAGCTTACATTTAGTTAGCACCACATAATTTACAATATATGTTTATATATATTATTCAATTTGATCCTTGCAGCGAATATGCTCTTTGCTTATTTGTACATGAGAATCTAACTCTCAGAGGGCTTAATGGACAAGTCAGGGACAAAGTCCCATTCTTCACTCTGAAGTTTTTCACTTTCTTAAATCACAAAATGTTCCCGCTCACAGAACATCATTCTCAGTGGATACTTACATTTCATCACACCTTGAATTTCATAAACAGGCTTGAGTATCAGAGCACCATAAAAGCCTTTAGGGAATGGATTAGTTAAGTCCCACTTATCTGAAAAACCTGTAAGTTTCACAGTTCGTGTTCTGTTCTTGGGGATCTTCCATTCAACAATCTCCTTTAAAGTATAAATATGTTCATCTTCACACTCATAGAATTCTCCTTCTTGTGACAAAGGCAATGTAAATGAGTGATTTTGATGATTCCTTATCACTCCGCAGTTCACCATTATTTCTCCATTGATTTCTTCGACTGAGTTGAGAACGATTTGCTCACCCTGCTTTATGATGAGGTTCTCCAGTTTCATATCTTTCTGATGATAGAAGCAAGGATGCCCTAGTCTACTTTGTCCAATATGGATGGTCCTGGTAATTTCTTCCATAGTCAGGTATGGAGTTTTATCGGCCACAATCTTAAAAAGACCTAAGAACAGAATTGTGTGAATTAAGGAGAGTTCTTAAAATGCAAGTTCTCTACACAAATCGCATTGTAAAAGTTATAAAACAAGTATAATATAACTTTTAAAAGTAATGTACCTTTTTTTAAAAAAAAAAAGATTAGATATACCTTTGTGAATTCTAAACTCTACTAGGAAAAATTTTAATGAATCATCTGCAGCTGACTGGACCATCTGACTTACGAAACACAAATGGAGACCAGAAAAAAATACCTACAGGAAAAAAAGGTCCCATTCTTGGAAATGGTAAACCTGTATGAGATACTGACTGTGTGATGTTGAGCAAGGCATTTAATCTTTTAAGATCACATTTTTTAATTTTTATTTTTAAAATGAGAAGATTGGATTAGATCAATGTTCCCAGAAATGTAATCTTTAGACACAACAAAATTAAGAGACATTCTAGAGGGAACCATTTTATGGGTAAATTAATAATTATAAAAACAATAAACTTGGAACTAGATCGTGGTGATAGTTGTACAACATTGTGACTGCACTTAAAGACACAGAATTGTGTACTTTAAAACAATAGGTTTTATGCTATGTATATTTTACCACAATAAAAACAATTCACACATTTCCCATTAATTTAAGATTTTTCAGAGAATTTAGATGTACTGTGACTCACAAGAGGAGATTACAGCAATCAAAACTTTTAAAATTTCTTTGATTAAAGAACTTGGTAAAATATCCACTAATAAATCACTGTGCCATACTGTGCCATATACTGTGCCATATCAGTACTCCATGTAACTCTCCTTGGACAATACCAAGGTTAGGTACCTCTGTATTGAATGAATACTCTTGATTACAATTCATTCTTTCTTCTCGTTACTTCTATAATTTTGTTATAGTTTCACTATTTGAAAGTCTTTCTCTAATACTATCAGAATAGTCACTAATACAAAGAATTTTTATTATTTAAGGTGTGTCTTTTTATGCTTGTGTGTTTGTGTATAATTCTTTGAATTATTTTGCTTTGATTTTATGAGTGCTACATTTGCTTTGTAGCACTTTCAGAAATTTATTTATTGCATAAATGCTAATAAATTCTAGAGAAAATAATAAAGGAAAATTACATAATTGCTTTCTTAAGCCAAAAGTAAATTAATAATATTACATAGTAGAATGCACAAAGAAGACAATGTATTTTTTAAAAACTTAATAGAATGATACAGCTTGGAAAAGTCACTTGTTAGTTTTACTCAACATATACATTTCAACCAAATTCATCTATATGTCAAATCATTATCAGCCAAGTTATAGTGCCTTTTATGTATGCTGTGGTTTACTATACAAAGGTTTATGGTCAGTTATTTTTGTAGTTGATCTTTGCTCAAACAAAAATAAGATTTTTTTTTATTTTTAGATATAAACTTCCTGAATAACTGGGTGGTGCAATCTGGGCAGGAATGAGTAGGGTAGCACTTGCAATCTGTCTTAAAATCCTTTAGAAATTGAACAGTGTTCACCCACTGCTAGTGTGCTTGAAACATTCACTTTGAAGGAATTTCTTATTTTATTATGTCTTGTATCAGGGAAAATCATCATAAAATAGTATTCTTTTTAGAATACTATTCTCCATAAATTCTCCATAGTAAATGAACTTGCGTGTGTCTGTCTGTGTGAGTACACGAACGTTTCTGAAACGTTTAATTCCATTTGTCTGTGTGCGAAGATTTATCCACAGTCATTATCAGGCTATAGAAAATTCAGCAGTTTCTGTGAAAGAAGTTTTAAAAAATAGCTACCTAGAATCTCATAAATAGTGGAGAAACACAGTTTGTTTTTGTTTTTCTATCCTAGCAATATTGATGACATAAGTCACAGAAAATTAATTTACTATCTCCTTTCTTGGGGAATTGGGTTCACCTAAGGTAATAACGGACCTAAAATGCTATGAAGTAGGAAAAGCCTGAAACCCTAAGGGCTACCATTATTTCAAGTTAATCACACACTTCAGCACTATCTTGTTGGATGTCTCTATTGCAAAAATAATCCATCTTCAAATCTGAGTGTTTTCCCTTAGAAAATGATTAAGTACACAGTTTAGCATACTAAGTGGCAGAGTGCAGAAAAATGATTAACTTATTTCTTCATATACTATTATAGCCAATCCAAAAGTCCTTTCTTATAAAAACTAGGGCATATATGTATAGTCACAAAAGAACTTCAATTTCACAGTAAACTAAAGCACCATAAGCCTGATTAGGTTTAAATTAGACCAATACTCCATCTTTTTCACAAAGAGTGTGGTAGTTTTTCATGGAAGGAAATATGATTTCTTTTCTTCCAAAGAAAAACAACACACATTTCAGGAGCTGAATGGTCATGAAAGTGATTATAAAATAAGCAAATATGTAATCTTTGTAAACTAAATTAAAAAATAGAAAGTACACATCTATTTTCAAATTTTATTGTCATGTATTAAAATGGATATTATTATTTTTAAGGCAGAAGAAATCATTCACAAACAGCATGTCACTTAAACAAAAATTATAGAAAACTACATTAAATTGATCTGTTGAAATTCAGTCAATAAGTGAATTTAGTACGTAAAATTTTGACTCTGAATCTTAGATTTTCAGAGAGTTTATATTTTTAACTAATTCTTAATGATCTGCAGTCATTGTTATTAATAGTAACAGTGACAAATAAAATTTTGCTTAGATATTTATGAGTTTGAATGATTGTTTTCCTTTCCATGATTTATCCTCACAAGAATCACTTAAGGACAGTAAAACAAATACCATTACTGAGGGGTCGGGAAGTGGTCATAGTTTTCATATTCATGGCTCTTAAATAAGAGTCTCATGCTCTTGCCACCAGGCTAGGCCACCTCCCTATCACAGGCATGACTTACAAAGACACAGCTATTGAAAACATATTTACTCCAGTTTACAAAATATGTATATGCATCTCTAGGGCTGGCCCTCCCTTTGCCTGGGTCAGCCTTTCCAGACCCTCCAGTATGAGAAGAGAAAGAATAATTTGCATAATTTGTGCTCATCAGATTTTTTTCCACTTTTTCTCTCTATGTCATCAATTCCCACCCAAATAAGGAGTAATTTTTTAAGTTAAATTTTCTCTCTGTATATCAGAATATTATTTAATATACATAGCATGAGATCATTGTAAGGAGTTTATAATCTGTTTTCTTAGTCTAATCGTTAGTTTGCTTTCCCAGTTCCAAGGAAACAGAGTCCCTCTGTGTTTAAAATGAGTAATCTTAGAGTGAACTTTACCTACTAATTCTCATCTTTCTCTCATATCACTAATATTAGAATTATTAAAATACCAGCAATTTACAATGTGCTGAAAATTCACATGTATGACATAGTTTAATTTTTAAAATAACAACATGAGAGAGCTACAAATGAAACAAACATTTCACAGGTAAGCACACACATGTTTGAAGAGGTGCCATAAGTTCTCTGTCATCACAGATAATAATAGAGTACGTTTTGTGTCTCTGAAGCTCAAGGGCTTAATCAGAGAGTTATACAGGTCAGCCTTTCACTATTAATCTGAAATCATAAATTGTTTTTCTAGCCTTTTATTAGCTAACAGGGATGGTTCCACGGTGGGTGTTCACCCTGCTTTTGGATGCAGAATGACTTAGAACTTTTAAAATCTAACAAGATAAGAAAGTGAACTTCACTGACATTGATGGGCGTTAAGTCTTCTCTGTTCATAGGTCAGATGGCCACATGCCTGTAGGTGCAGGTGAGGCCCCTGAGGGGGCTGGGGGCTGTGCAAGGTAAAAAGGTTGCCAGTGCTGCGCACACCAGCTTATGTACTTTCAATGTCCTGCGGGTTACCTGGCCATGTTTAAGTGGATTTCTAGAATATGTTACCATAGTTTTAAAATAAAATATCCCTCACAAATGGATAATGATTTTAAACACTTCCTGCAAGAAAACCATGTATTTAAATTAAAACTAATATAAGCACAATAACAAAAAAAAATTGCAGAGTTGACATTCCTACTCCCACTCAAGCTTTTCTTCAGCCATATTGTGAGGAAAAATAATGACACTCTAATAAAAACTTCGAGTGGCTGAAAGTCCTTTAACACAAATTTATAAAAATATGGATTCACATCACTATCATAGAAAAACTTGCCCTTGAGATATATACTTAAATATATGTCAAATACACACCCACACACACAATTTTAAATTAATACACATATATTGGAGATGGGTGCTTGAAAATTGCTAATGCACTGAGCTATATAAAGAAGGTTTGGAGATAAATCAGACTGCTGCATATTTCTGATTATTTGTCTTATCTCTCTGCCAATAAAGCAAAATATGTCTCACTTATTTCTGTGTGTGCTTTGCCTCTTAAAAAACTGCACTGTTTGTTCTGCAATCGAATTTCTAGACAGCCTTATTATTTCATATTTGTCTATATGTATTTCTCATTTCACATGCTTCTTGTGGCTTTTCTATCATTTTGTTACATTCCCAAGACAATTCTTAGGTCAGCATATCCTACAAAATCTTCTTCAAAACTATACCAAATCCAGTACTTTTACTAGAAATTCTAGTTCAAGCATCTCTATCCAATTTCAGATTGAAATGAAAGTGTATGAAATAATGTACCAGAGCAAAAACCTCAAAATCTTTGACTAAAGGATATATAACACAAAAACATATATATAATAATATAATAACAATGTTCATACTATAAGAAATTTCTCCAGATTTCTCAGAGTCAATTATATGATTATTGAGCATCTTCGACAAATCAGTGATTCCAACAGTCTTTGTAGAAGAGTCTCCAAGATCAGAAATAAGGAATGTGAAGAAAAGTCAAAGTTCATGATACAAAAATTTTGTGTAGTAATTTAATTGAGTATTTGGGAGGGGAAAAGATATATCAAAGATGGTGATCAAATTTTTTAAATGTTAGATGAGACAAAGTGAGGCTGTAGAATTTCTATGTTTAAATGTCTTTA